CTTGAAACTGTCGTACCAAAGTTCCTACATTAAATGGTTTTATGCGCGTCTCCTTTTGGACGTAAGAATTTATATGCTGTGCCTTAAAATTTTTGGGTGGAATGATATAAATTTTTAATAGGTACCTTGGCGAACGTCCTACTCAATACTTAATAAACGTTTACTCTCTACACATATGCAAGCAGTACCTGATTCACTACTTTGGCGAGTTAGGAAGGCACCATTATGTTTTCCATTCACGATACATACAGGTCTAACCTTTAACTTCACCAGCAACAGGGATGTCAAGACCAAGCTGCTAAGTGATTAAATTCCCTCACTATGCTGAAAAAAATTGCTCCTATTTCTTCTGCCTTACTTAAATCATGGACAGTTGCAGGTGAAAAACATGAATGAATGAACTGTTACTAGTAGATAAAGATTAATTAGTTGTCACTCGCTGATATATTGTATGGGACTGTTCAGTGTATACGTGAATTGCCAAAATTATATTTTTTAAACTAATCGATTAGCTGCAAACCTATGCATAAATAAAGAGGATTACCAATTGAGAGCGCACTCCTCATTTCAAAAGATCGATTGGATCTCATGCGTTAAACCAGACATTTTCAGACTATTGTCATTGTATTACTGAAATTATTACTACTCAGTAATACTGTTATTATTTATTATTACCGTCATCACTCTTTTTCTAGGAGATTATTTTTGAAGGGTTACGGAAATTAAAACTTAACATGGAGAAACAACACCAGCACAAGGTCATGACGTGGTATGTTTTCAAGTTCACTTTCCCGTATCGCATGATCCAGGTATCAGAAAATAACGTTCATTTCTGTCCATCTGCCGATATAGTGGTGGGCCGAACATCACTTAGATTACCCCTTCGGTTTAGCCTATGGATCTTCAGACTTTGTTCGAAATTAAATGATATAACGAAATGATTTTACCACTGTTTTGTTCAGAATAAAGACTGATAAAGAGCTCTAGAGCTCTACCACCCGTTCTAGTCAGTGTCCACGATTGAGACAGATTTGTTTGAATGACATAAACATATTAATCATTTTTTACTCATCATAGTTACGCTAGTTGGCCGTTTCAAATTTACGAAAAGCCTTCACGATACCCATAAACGGAAATGGCATTCATAACGCCGCAGTATGCTCTGGCATGTGTTCACGCAACAATTAACCAGATAGTTTAGACTGGACCTAGCGGACCATGCTCGATTTAATACAATTTCTGGCACGACAGCTTTAGTGTCCTATGCTATTCGAGTCTGTTGCAAATTATAAACTTACTTTCAGTTTCTCAATTGCTTTAGACAGAACAGACTGAGCTAAATATCTAAACCGCTTCTGATTCCATGGTTGGCAGCTAGAGAAATACGAAAATAATTTATTTCAAACCATTCCAACGTGTCGACCGATCTTGCATCAGTTATCAATAATGAATAAATCAGTTATCATTTATGAAATGAATAAAGTAAATAAAGCTGCTTCGGTCGGTTTGCTTCACCTGACTGAGGGAACGCTAAAATTGTCACTAATTATGCAATTAGTTTATTATTTACTGAACTACATACCGTGGAAGTATTAAGGGAGCCTACGCAACCGTTGCAAGTTTTTCCTGACTGTGAAGTGAAGCCATTCCTTTAGCAATAGCTTTGTTTTTTACGGTTTCAATGCATTATGGTGGCAACACTATTTCGAAAGTCATGACAGTATTCCAGGGCATGAATAACATTACTGGAATGGTCAGTGCTTTGGTACCTAATGGCTACTCGGTTAATCTGATTTTCAACGATCGACAGATCTGGCCAGTGTAAATGCAATCGCAGTTGTTACATGTAACTTGAGAGAAAATGTCTGCCTTCCATGCTGGGGTGAGGAGCAACCTTCTTATACAACGGGCTTCCTAAGGCGTTGCCCTCTGCAAAACGTACACTAAACAGCCACCTTTCTAAAAACGTCTGAACTTCTTTAGATATGCTTGGAGAATATGATATAGAAATTAATAATCGAGAAAGGCAGCAGCCAAAATTTAAGACATACATATTAAACATATGGCATATCCGTTTCTATAAAATCTTTATAAAACTTGATTTCGCCTCTGATTAGTCTGCAATCTAAACAGTAACGTAGAGCATAATTTTACGGTATTGCCGACGAAAGACTTTGAAGCGTTGAGGTAACGGTTAGAGTTCTGTGCATTTCTATAAAAATGTGAAGGATGAGGTACCGTATCGGAGTGCTGAATGTCTTACAAAGACGTATTATGAAAACCTGCTGTTTTGGCTACAGGGAGTCTTCAGGCTGCAAATTCAGTAAATAAATGATTTGCCGCGCTACGAGTACCTGCAGGACCAATATGCAAAATAAACTGTTAAAACTAGTTTTCGCTTTCAGTTTCCTCCCGCCCAAAATGTTCCAGAATTTCGTGAACCAATGCCTGAGTGAAAGGCGAAAGACGAAGGGCTTAATTTCCCAGAACCGACAAGGTTGCATGAAAA